CTATCTATCTATCTATCTATCTATCTATCTATCTATCTATCTATCTAACGTGTCATGTTCCTGTTCAACAAGCTCAGGTAATTTTCTGTTTATAATGATGTCATGATATTTGTTCAGTAGGTTTTCTTTAAGCATGGGAATCCTGTGTGCAACCAATATATTCCCTGTAAAAACATGCAAACAGACATAATCCTATAAAATATTCTTGTTGTTATTCTACATTTGGTTCCTGCCTTGTGATAGAATTCCAGCTCTGCTTTTGATAAACAAAACTTGTTGTGTTGATGCCTTTTTGTTGGGGGAATCTAAAGTAGTATCAGTGATGCAGCTATTGTGTCTCTGCCTTTCACTCGGGCTGTGAAATCCTGCCAAGTTAAATAGTCTCAGCTCACAAAGGGAACAATAAAAGCTGCTCTGCAGCAATGTGTCAATGCATTTTCTTTATTCTTTTTAACAAAAAATTCAAGGATAATGAAAATAATGAAACCCAAAGGCCAGGTTCATAAAGTGAATTACATATGAGAACCTCTTGAATTTAAAATAAAATCTCCTGGATAGCACATTAGAAAGCTCGGGATAAAGATTTTATTCTGAATCAAAACAAATGTGCTTCATCATTAAAAAAATGAAGTTATCCACATCTAACAAAGTTGAGTCAAGTCCTCTGGACGGATTATTTGTTGTTGAAACGTTTTGTCTTTTATCCAAAAGACTTTGTCAGTCTGAGGAGCTGCAATAAGCTCAGTCTTATAAATAAATCTTCTCAAAGTGGATCAACCAGTTTGCTGGTGGCATCCAAAACTAGCTGTTCACATGCAAATGGAGGACCATCAGGCTAACCATGAGCTTATTAACCATAAGATTGTTAATGGTCTGATGGTCGCTTGCTGTTCACAGAGGGCTGAGACAATAACAATTACAGCATCGTAGAGGGGGACAGTTGAACACAGAGGCCTCCACCACCCCTGTTTAATGATAGGTGGTTTCTTTTCACAAAGATGGCTTCCTTCATTCCTCTCAAACCAACATTCCTCTCTATCAAGGATGTGAACATCTTCATCCTTGAACGAGTGACCGCTGACCTGCAGATGAGTGTAGACCGCAGAGTCCTGGCCTAATGATGCTGCTCTTCTGTGCTGGTCCATCCTTTTGGCCAGTGGCTGTTTAGTTTCTCCTACTGTTGCCAACCAGTGGAGGAGGTAGAAAAGAGAGTCTTGACGTCCTTTTCAGGGACAGCACCGAGTCATTGGTTCATGTTGATTACACCTGGGTCTCAGGAAGTCAGACATTTTACTGACCACATCAACTCTGTGGATGAATACATCAAGTTCTCACGAGAAGATGTAAAAAATGGCAGGTTGGCTTTCTTGGACTGTGAGGTCTCAGTCTCTGATGGAGGACATTTGCAAACTGAGGTGTACCACAAACCCACCCACAAAGACCAGTGCTTGTGGTTTGACTCCCATCACCCTTTGGAGCACAAGTTAGGAGTCATCAGGACTCTGTACCACAGAGCGGACAGCGTCCCCACTAGCTCAGGAGCCAGGCAGAAGGAGAAATCCCACACAAGACAGGCTCTAGAGCAATGTGGATATCCTAACTGGGCCCTCCTGAAAGCAGAGAAGAAACCCAAACAGGACTCCAGTCAGCCAACAGGTGAAAAGGAGGAACCCAGACCCAGACCAGTGGTCATTCCATATGTTGAGGGAGTATCAGAGAAACTGAGACGTTTAATTTCTAAACATGACGTCCCAGTGGCTTTTAAACCCCAAAGACTGGTCCATCCCAAAGAATGGACCTGAGTCAGCATTCTTCAACTACCTGGATTAAGAAGCATGCATCAGGACAAGTTATTCACATGTTTTTTTTCTAAAACTAAATGCCCAGGGTTGTTGGGACTTGTTTCAAGAAGCTTCTTAAAGTCTGGACGCATTGCCTGAAGATAATCAGACATTTCTTTAAGTCGAGATAATAATCTGCTGCTGCAACTTTCAGGGCTTTGGGGTTATCTAAGTCCAGCAGAGGGGATGGTTTGTGGGAGGAGGGCCCAACTACTGCCTCTACTCAGCTCAACAGAATCAGCTTAAGTTACACAACAGTAGAGACGGAAATCAAGAAATGTTTCTTTTCAAAATAAGAGTAAAATGGAGAAAAATAAATTTGGAAATCATTCAAACACTTCCCCCAGACTGTATCCACTTTACTAAATGATATGCAGCAAAGAGAATAAACTTTATTTTTACATTAGCTGTTTTTGAACACACATTCTCTGTCGTGTGGCTTGAGATGTTCTGTGTTCAGTTCAGTGACTGATGTTTTGCTGATAATGTTTTAACGAACATGATGCAGAGCTGGTTCTGTCCTGGAAACCGTGAAGACCACATATGAAGACTGTCATGTGGTGTTGCATTCTGGGACAGGAGTTTTAATCTTATGAGTGATGTTCTTCTCTTCACTTTTGTTGACTTTTATTTAATTACTCGTAAAAGAAAGACTCAAATCAAATGGATGAAAAAAGTAAAACAAATGCATGTATGTTAAACGTACCTTTTTAACAGTAGATACTTTGTTTTTAGTTCATTTTTACTACAGCTGGTCTATTTAATGCGTCACAAACAAGTGAAATGAACTTTATTCATAAAGCCCATTTAAAACAGCAGCTGTTGCCAAAGCGCTTAACAATGACATAATTGAGAGTAAATTAATGGAAAAAATAAAAAATAATGATGGTACTGAAGAACTAATTAAAAACATTAAATAAAAAAACATAAAAACACAGAATAAAAAAATACTAAATCAACTCGCACTGTGTGAAATGATCAGATGATCTCAGGGCCCAAGAGGGAACAAACGGTCCCAGTAGCTCAGAGGGATATGGGGGTGCATAGGCACTTATAGATCAACAGGAGGATTTTAAAATCTATTCTAGTACGCACAGGGAGCCAGTGAAGGGAGGACAGAGCTGGTGTAATATGCTCAAACCTACGAGTTCCTGTTAAGAGCCGAGCAGCAGCATTCTGGACGAGCTGGAGACACAAAATGGAGGCCAGGCTGACCCTCAGCGTAGAATGTGTTACATTAGTCCAGTTGGGTTGTGATAAAGGTGTGGACTGGTTTTTCTAGGTCAGATCCAGACAACTCTGGCTTAAGCTTGGCTATCTGCCTTAACTGGAAGAAGCTTTTCTGCAGAACAGAGTTGATTTGTTCATTAAACGTAAAGTCAGTGTATAAAACCATTTGTGTTTTCCATTCCGAGAAGAACAAAGTCTGAAAATGCAAACGTTCATACAACTCACAGAGCAAAACGCAGCGAGAATGGAAAACCCAGCTTGCGTGTGTTTATTCTCAAGCAAGCCTCATAAAGTGACCCGTATCTGATGGTGATAATGACTCCAGTATGAAAAACAGAGCACAGCTTGAATGAATGCACCTAAAAATCCAGATTTGTTGGCTGAGCGCTACATCTGATTGTTCAAAGGTCCCCTCATTACTTCTGGTTTAGAGAAGAAAAAAAATCTCGTTTCTCAGATTTTTATTTTTATTTTTGCAACGGCTCCGTTCTATTTTATTTTTTTATATTGGACGCTGTGAATTTGAGCAGGATTCACTGCAAAGATATATGAAGCAAAGACCCATAACGGTCAGTCAGGTCATCTGGACAGTTTCTTTTTTATTTAAAGACGTTTCACTCTCTACTGGATTTTGTACCTGGATGATTGAGCATGAACTTTGATATGAAGCAAAGAGATGTATGAACTTCAACTTCGACCACACATTTTCATGTATTTCACAACCAACGGACAAAAACTGGTTCACTCTTTGCATCCTTGGCCGAGAAGCGGTCTCTTTCAGTCAGGATTTAGCTGCATCTCAAGTGGATGGAGACTTTCATAAAGGAGTGTAAGGTTGAAGAAAAAAGCTCCTGTTGGGATTTTTCTGCAGTCTTGCCACAGGAGATGGAATTTCTCTTATTTTGAAGGTTCCAACCGGATGTAGTTTCGCAGTAAAGCAGCTGTTTTGACTCCGTTTTAAAAAGCTCAGCCTGTGGAGGGCTGTGATCCGCATACCACACAGTGTGTGTCCCGACAGAGACCCCTGAAACAATCCGGGGGTCCACATCTCATCAAATGTCTTAGAAAATAATAATAATCAAAAAGCTGGATGACTGCAAAGAGCTCCGTTAGATGAAAGTCTGAAGAGGACGCGGTTCTTCTGGCCCATGGAATAAAACCAGGTAAGGCATCATGTTCAATATAATAAAGCCACGTTGTATTTTTCTGCTGTCCTGCGCTCCTTTGCGGAAAATCCGCAGCGCAAAGATGCGTCAGTAATGCTGCTGTCTGTGCAGCAGCAGCAGTCAAATTACACGGTTTTCTTTAATCAGAATGAAGACAATGCATTGAAACCAAATATAACCTGCAGTGGGGTTTGTTTCACTGTGGTGACATGTGTTTAAATATGCAGTCCAATAGCTCCAGACAGAAGAGGAGGAAAACATGAAACTATGTTCTCAGCCTCTCCCTTACAACAACAAGAGGAGGATGTTATTCCTTCCACTGTAGGCTTAATTACTCATGCTTTTCTCAACAATAAGCATTTCATCTGTACCATAATTCAAGCACTACTTTATCCATATAAGGACTTTTGATGTCTGTTAGTAAAATATCTCATGAACCACTGAACGGATTTCATTGACATTTTTAAGAAATGATCATTGGCTGTGCCTCTACAGCTGATTAACCTTAGGAGTCAACCCAATTCAAGGCACCTGTCACAACCAAGTGATCTTACAAAACATAAAAAATGGCTATTGTCCAGTAAAACTTGGTCTGGTTGTAGCTTGGACGACACATACTCGATATGCAAGATCTTGCCTTAATTAGATCTCAAAACTAGTTGCTTTGTCTGTTAGCAAAATATCTCATGAACCACTGAATGGGTTTAAATGACATTTTTAATAAATAATATCTAGATCTACATCTAGAATTCATCAAGATGTCTGCCATAGGTAATCAACATGATTAACCATCACAAAGTGGCTTTAACTCTGTCAGTTTTCCATCTTTTGAGCTCAAATTTGATGTAGTTGCTGAGAGTCCTTCACAACATAGTGTGAGCGTGACTTGTCTTCACATTGCATGAGGTTATTATTTCCAAGGTTTGACCAAAGTGACTATATCTATTACTTTAATCTCAACATAGGGTGATATTTTAATTTAAATCTCCGACAGCGAGTAATCTGCATCCCTTCTAGGAATGCTTGGCCTTTAACGGTTATTTCAGTTTTCATACCATAGCTTTGTCTGTTAGCTCAAATAAAACAAAGTGCTGTATAAATGGCTTTAGCTGCTCCTTTTGATTTCATTTTTTCAGTCTAGAATGTTTTCAGACCATGTTCACAGACAACATTGTGATCTGTAGACCGTGAGTAGGGAGCAGGTGGAAGAGAGCCTGGAGAGGTGGAGGGATACTCAGAAGAGACAAGAAATGAAAGGCGATGAAAGCAGGTGCAGTTAGAGAGGCAAGACCGAGATGGTTCAGCCTTGTGTAAGATGAGGAATGAGTACTGGACACATATGGAGCTGCCAGAAAGAAAAGAGGAAAGCCACAGAGAAGGAGGATATGCAGAGGAGGATGCTGGGATAGATGAAGGCAGACGATCCAGACCCCTGAAGGAAAAAAAAAGACTTCAAGTCTTTTAGTTTAGTTCATCTGCAATATATGCGGAACAGAATCACAAACGCGCTCAGCATATGCCTGGGTGGAAATAAACCAGTGGAGATGTTTCTGCACAATCAGAAGTGTTGCTGCTGTACAGTAGCAGTGGGGGCTGCTGTGTGTGGGAGGTGTAAGCAGAGGACAGATGAGTAGGCTCGTCCTGTGAGCACTGAATCAGCCTGCTATTAACATTTACACGTGGGAGCTCTGGCAGACGAGGTCGGCAAATCAAAGCTGCCAGCATCTACCTGAGGAGTGTGCAGGAAGATGCAGCTTTTGATTGCTTGACGCCTTATACTTCAAATCAGCATCTTGATGACCAAAAACACATTCCAGAAAGGAAACTTGTACTGTCGCTGCAATGTGCCAAGTTTCCTGTTCTGGGAAAGTCCTTTCCTTCCTTCTGCAAAGTTCATGCCGAGCTCAGCTGACCGCCGTCTTTAGTCACATCTTTGACTTCTAGACGTGCAACCCGTTTAACAAAACTCTCAGTGCATTTTTAATTAACCCAAACTGTGAAAATCCTCCAAATTACAGCCGTCAACTTGCCACTTTTGTTCCTCTGCTCACAATGAACATGAAAGCACGATGTACTGAAGAATCACAACGTGCTAATAAGGAGCCGAAGTCTTATTTAGCTGACGGGGGCAGGGAGCATTCCATCCATTTCGTGTCAAACGAACACAGCTCTTTGAAGGCTATTGAGGAGGGCTTTTGTAAAAACACCATTGTCTGACTGCTTGCTGCCACGGTAACACTCTCACATTGGCAGCAGGGCGAGAATGCTGCAGTCAGAAATGACAAAATGCCTTGCCAGAAAATGTGAGAGAATGAAATCCTGATTTTCTTGTCTTGTTTTTTTTATTTTTTACCTTGACTGCACACAATGAACTAATTTGTGAGTTTTCTCACAAATCAGTACTTCTGATCTTGGCCAAATGCTTTCAGAGCAATCAGCCAAGCTACTTGTAACCAGCTATAGCTCCTAATGTGCCTTCAGATGGTAAAATACACAGCTTAGTCATTACATGACTTTGTCACAGCATTGCGTTTGCCCATGTTTATTACTGTGTCTCACCTGTATATGTTATACATGCCAAGCATGAAGCTATTCACGTACAGGAGTGCCAAGGGTTCCATTGCATCTTGAGTCAAAAATCCAAAATATCTTGTTTTAAAACGGAGAGAAAATTGTTGATTTCATTAGAGGGCGTGTTTGCTTTCGTTGCACTTGTTGCAGAGCGTGAAGTTCAGAGTTTACACAAGTTGGTAAAAAGAGGGGTCTGAGCTCTGGTGCACCAAAAAAAGGCCAGTTGTAGAATCGTTTCCTTTTCTGTCGGCGTAGAAAAATGTTCTGTTTCTGCACGCTTGTGTCTGTTTCACACGTGTGCCATGCAATTTCTGTTCCCATAAAGAGCATCGAACTAAGATGTAAGGTTAATTTGCTTTTACTGCAAAAATATATAAATATATAAGTAGTTGACTGCTATTGACTTATAATGCTGTTGTATCATTCAGCCCTCTGTGAATAGCAAGTGGCCATCAGGGCACTAACGGTCCATTGTTTAGCTCATGGTCCTCCTTTTAGCATGTGGACAGCTAGTTTTGGTTGGCAACAACAAACTGATTGATCCACTATGAGATGGGGCTATTTATAAGACTGAGCTTGTTACAGCTCCTCAGACTGAAGAAGTCTTTTGGATTAAAGACGAAAAGTTTCAACAAGTTGGTTTTTTTGTTTGTTTGTTTGTTTGTTTATCTGTCTAGAGCAGGGGTGTCAAACTCGCTTACAAAAGGGGGGCACAATTAAAGCCTTTTTCAAACTGAGGGCTGGTTTCAGAATCTACATTAACTCAAGTTAGATACTCAACATCTTTTCTTGGTTGCAAGTTCCTCAACAAGAGTTTGATTAGTCTCATTTGATGTTTTCTTTTGCATTTTTGACATCATAATCAAAGATTACTGAAAAAAATTAAAGTGATAAAAGTATTTTACATTTAAAATAACATCTTGGGGGCCAGATAAGATGTCTACGAGGGTCACATTTGGCCCCCGGGCCTTGAGTTTGACACATTCTCTCAACCTTTATTTAGACAGGTAAATCCCATTGAGCCTCGAGGACTCATTTACAAGAGAGACCTAATTTCAACAAAGAATGATGACAACAATGGACAACAGTGACAGCAATAAACAGTTATAAAAAGTCATACTACAGTTTTTTTTTTTGTTTTGTTTTTTTTTTAATAACAAATAGGGTGGCTAAAAGAAAATGTAACAAAAAAAAAACAGCTAGATTCTAAGGCGAATGTAGAAAACTAAAAACAGGAACATGTCTGCATTGGTCCCTGCCAGGAGTCCAACAGATTCTTAAAGCCACTTAGAGAGGTCAAGGTCGAGAGCTTCAATTGTTTTTGTAAGGTATTCCAGGAAACAGGAGCGGAGTAGGAGAAGGCCCTTTTGCCTAGTTCAGTCCTCATTGAGGGAACACTGCAGGTAATAATGTCCTGAGAGCGCACGCTGTAGCTGCACTCACGCAGAGACATGTAGGAGGAGATGTATGAAGGCAGCAGACCAAGAAGTGATTTAAAGATGAAAATGTACCAGCGACAGAGTCTGCATGAAGTTAATGATGTCCAGTTAACCATTGAATACAGGGTGCAGTGGTGGGTACGATAATCACAGCCAGTTATGAATCTTAGAGCACCATGATAGACAGCATCCAACATCTGCAGGGTGCTTGTAGGAGCGTTCATGTAAATAATGTCACCGTAATCAATGGAGGGAAGGAAAGTCACAGATACAAGGCGTTTCCTAGCATTCAGAGTTAGACAGGATCTGTTTCTGAAAAAGAAACCCAGTTTAACTTTCAGTTTCTTTACCAAGTTTTCCACATGGAGCTTAAAAGAGAGATGTGAGTCAACCAAGATACCCAAATATTTATAGGAATCAACAAACTCAATCGGGACACCATTTGAGGATAAAATCGGAGGAAGAACTGCTGGGACCAACTTCCTGTTTGAAAAAAGCATCCCTTTGGTTTTGTCGGCATTTAGGACAAGTTTGAGGTGGAACAAATCTGTGTCTGGATGTAGTTGAATGCAGAATTCAAAAGCTGGAAAGCCTTAGCAACCGTTTTAGCTCGACAATAAACAACTGTGTCATCAGCATAGAAATGTATGGATGTATTAGGGATGTTTTTAACCTACATTATGTATGTAGATTGTAAAGAGGGTGGGTCCTAAGACTGAGCCTTGTGGTACACCATTATTGACTGTTAAATAACTGGAGGAAGTACCATTGTGTTGAGCACATTGCTTCCGGTCTGAGAGATAGTTAGAGAACCAACCAATGGTGTGTTCTGAGAAACCAATTTCTGAGAGTTTATGACACAAGATGTTATGATCCACAGTGTCAAAAGCTTTAGACAGGTCTAAGAAAAGAGCAGCACAATAATCCTTAGCATCCAGTGCTTCAACGATGTCATTAAGAACCTTTAGTGAATCAGTGGTTGTGCTGTGTTTTTTCCTGAAACCAGATTGATGTGGAGGTAAGATGTTAAATGAGTCCAGGTAATTTTTGATTTGAGAGTTTATCAGTTTTTCTAGAACCTTGGCTAAAATGCAGAGTTCAGAGATTGGCCTATAGTTGTTCAGTGAGATGGGGTCACCTCCCTTCAGCAAAGGAAGAACAAAGGCTGTTTTCCAAGTGTCTGGGATGGAGTTTTGTCTTATGGAGAGATTGAAGATGTGGGTCACAGGGACTGTGATGATATGAGCAGCCAGCCTTAAGAAATAAGGTGGAAGTTCATCTGGACCTGCAGATTTTTTAGGATCAAGATCTTTTAACAATTTATTAACCTCACTGACTGAGAACGGAGAAAAAGAGAAGCTGTGTTTAACTGAGGATTGACTTGTAGGAGGGATTTGATTTGTAGAAGTTTGATTATTAAGTGAAGTGGCTGATTTTCCATTAGTAACTGTGTCGAAGATCTCTTTGAATTTTAAATTACCAAGGAATTCCATCAGGGCGGACAGAGCCTCAGGTGTTGCTGAGGGGGGACGGTAACAACAGACTACAGATAAGATCTGGCCTCCATTCAAAGTGATGTTTACAGCTAAGGCATCAATTTGGTTTGGAATTGTTTTAGAAGACACAGGACTAGCAACCAAAGAATCTCTGATGTAAACAACGACTCCCTGACACACACACACACACCTTTTTTTTTTTTTGACAATCACAGCGGTAGATGTTAAATCCATTGACTGCCAGGTCATTATTGAGTACATATTTGTTGAGCCAGGTTTCAGAGATGAAGATTACATCTGCCCCAGAAGAACTGACCAGAATTTTCAAGGCATCAAGTTTTCTCAGAAGGCTACGTGCGTTTACATGCAGAAAATGAAGCCCAGACACGTTTTTAAAGTCATTTGGTGTCATATAAATAGTGGGGGGTCCAGGGTTGGGCTGAATCCCTGAGAGCAGTAACAACATTGTTATCAGACATTTCCTTGAGTTTTTCGTGATTGATGTGTAATGTGTAACATATGATCTAAGATCATCTTATGTTGAGAAATGATGGAGTCGTTTGGTCGAGCCTTGAAAAATACAAAGTCTCAGAAAAATTGCACGATTTCACTTTCACTGAATGTGTTGGGAATGATTCTCAGTAACTACCACATCAGATTTTAGCACAAAATCTGTTAAACTGACAGAGTTATAGCCATTTATGTGTTGGCAAATGTGTCATCCTTTTTGAATTGCACAAATTCAGAAGTTGGTGAGTTCTAGAGTCACAAATGACGAGACAATTTGATGACTAACACACAAGAGCAAAAACATCACTGTTCTTCTTGTCTTTCTGCTCTTACTGCAAAAAGAGTTCAGTTTAGCTGGAAGAGAGTCATTTGTTCCATCAAGGTCTTAAATGTGCTGTATTAAAGAACAAAGTTATCCAAGACTCTTCTAAATCTTCCTGATGCTGTCAAACATCTGGTCCAGGGTGGGGCAGTGCTCTTCCTGCAGAGCTATAAACGATTTTCGCGCACTTCCACTAAATTTAATATATTTTGCTGTCAGCTCAGCGACACCATAAACAACAGAAACAAATATCTGAAGACGCTTTACGCTCTTGTTTTGCGATCCTTCTTCAGCTCTGTTGTGATAGTTCTAATTATATTTTCATAATGCTGGACATTTGGAGCTCTTCGTAGAGTTTTGAAAAAGGTTTTCATTTGTGTCGCCTTCTTTTCTCAGTAAGGACTGAAAATTTACCCTGACTGATTAACACGGGATCCTGGTGATGATGATGATGATCCTCATGGGATGCTGTTGCAAGATTCTTCTCTTTTCTTAAGGTCATAATGAAAAACGGTGGCACTAATTTGAATTAAATGATGAAAATAAAATATGATCTTGACATAATTCTATTCTAGGGATCCCACATTGTTGTTACGGTGTACTCTAGATTACAGTTCATGCTGTGTGACACAGCTGAGTCTAGCTTTGTGCAGACATTTGATGAGCTCATAGCGAGATTAGATGGGAATGTTCGACTGCGCAGTTGAGGACTGGACTGCTGACATACGTTTTGCTCATCCACGAAGTGCCGAGTTGTCATTTCCCATTTTCTTTTCCTTCTGACAAAGCTTTTTGTTGGCCTGTTTCCTCTGTTTCAGATAGCAAAAACCACACTGTTTACATATTGGACAACATTTCTGGCTATCAGTGGCCAACAGACTCTGTCTGCAGGCCAAAATTAGCTGCATTTTTTTTTTTTAATGATTAGTGATGATTAATGATTTCATATATTTTATGACAGATCTGTCAACGTCATTTTGTTCTCTAGGTCTGCTAAACATCATGTCAGGAAAATCAGATGTGAAAAATAAGTGGGCGACAGTCAGGGACCGCCTGGGCTCCTCGCAGGACTCGGACACCCAGCAGGAGGCCAACCTGGAGAGTGCCGACCCAGAGCTGTGCATCCGACTCCTGCAAGTCCCCACTGTTGTCAACTACTCTGGGCTGAAGCGCCGCCTGGAGGGCAGCGACCAGACATGGATGGTCCAGTTCCTGGAGCTGAGCGGGCTGGATCTCCTCCTGGAGGCTCTGGACCGACTCTCGGGTCGGGGATGCTCTCGCATTGCGGACGCCTTGCTGCAGCTCACGTGCGTCAGCTGCGTCCGCGCGGTGATGAACTCATCGGCGGGGATCCACTTCATTATAGAGAACGAGGGATACATTCGGAAGCTCTCACAAGGTTGGCTAATTGCACTTTTTATAAACGTATTCCAGGTTTCAGTTTAATCACACATGTGAAAAAGAACCAGATGCATCAGTAAATAAATGCTTTTTATACAACCCTGGATCCGATAAAGTTGAAACATTGTATTAAATTTAATAAGAAAACAGAATGCAATGAGTTGCTAATCTTATGAACCCATATTTTATTCACAAAAGAACATAGGGTTTGAAAAAAAAATGTTGAAAGTAAGATATTTTACTTTTAATTGAATTAAATTTAACATTTGATTCATTTACCATATTCCACTGTGAAGGCCTGCAGTAGGTCGGTGGTCAGTGTCGTGGTCTTGTAACCCTGAAGCTGCAGGTTCAAGCTCAAGTTGTGTCAGGAAGGGCATCTGGCATAGAAACATTTGCCACATTGTTGAGTTTGCTAGCTGCTGTGGCAACCTCTGCAGAGGGGAGCTGCTGAAAGAAAAACAACTACCATATGTATATCCCTTTATGGATCAAATGAGGTTTGCAGATCATTGCAATCTGATTTTAATGACATTTTACACAACAATCCAACTTTTTCACATTTGGTATTATAGTTAAATAAGCATGGAAGAGGATTAGGACTATGGTACAAAAACTTTTTTTGTCTGAATTCTGAAATTAAAGTCAGAATCCATCTATCTATTGCTAATTCTGACTTTTTTCTTTAATCTCAGAATTCTGAGATTAACAATTTCCTGCAGAATCAATAAAGTTCCATCTTATCTTATCTTAAAGTCATAATTCTGAGATTAAAGTCAGAATCCGTCTAACTCTGACTTTTTTTTCTCAGAATACTGACTTTAATCTCAGAATTCTCACTTTAGTCTCAAAGTTTTGACTTTATATTCTCTGAATTTACTCTCAATTCTGACTTTAAGATAAGATAGAACTTTTTTGATTCCGCAGGAAATTGTTAATCTCAGAATTCTGACTTTAATAAGCATATTTTACTATAAATAAAAATATTGCATGCTTAAAAACAGAAGGGCCTCTTATTTCTATTAGATAACATCTTTTTGAGTGTTCACATGATTTAATGACTCATTCAGTTGAGCTGAGTTTTCCTGTCATGCTCAGCTGTATAGAAGCATGAATCCAAAAAGGTCTGCTTCAGGAGATTGCTGAAAATCTAACATCAGCATTGAAAATTGGCTTGGCTTATCCTCATCTATGTATGTACACATAGACATAGCTTTATCACAACACAGACAATCAGATCCACACAAAGATCAGCTTGACAGTAAGCCAAAGCATCCTGTTTGTGTTTAGACTAATAGAGGAACGGTGATTGAAAATGTGAGCGGTTTATTTCACATTCATGTCTCTGTGATGTTCCACAGCTTTGGACACGTCAAACATCATGGTGAAGAAGCAGGTGTTTGAGCTTCTTGCAGCCCTCAGCATATTCTCAGCCGAAGGTCACTGTCTGGCGCTCGACGCCCTGGATCATTACAAGGCAAGCACTGAAATAAGAAATGTGGCCCAGAATCATTTGTCACAATAAACTGCTTTAAAACCCACCCTAAACTGTTTCAGGTTGGTTGCATGCGCAAGTGTTCTGACCATCTTTGATTTGCACCCATCAGGGTTTGAAGGCACGTCAGTATCGTTTCAGCGTGATCATGCACGAGCTGCAGGCCACGGATAACGTCCCATACATGGTCACGCTGCTCAGTGTCATCAACGCGCTCATCTTCAGTACAGACGACCTGAGACAGAGAGATAAAATAAGAAAGGAGTTTATCGGTAAGTCCTCGTTTGATCGAGGTGGTGCTGATCTAAATTCTCAACGGGAAAAGCGGGACATCAGCGGGCGTTTGGCTGCAAATTTCTTTGTCACTGGGTCTTGGCTAAGAATAGTTTGAATGGCCTCATTCTCACTAAGACACAACGCCTGTGAACGAAACGTGGGAATCGTTGTGGGAATCTTAAGCATCACTTTGAGACAATAAAACTGTCTGAATGAAATTGTCTTTAGAGCCTGTTCCAAAATATGTTCATGTGAAACAGCTGGATTTGAACCTGGGACCTTCATGCCAAGAAGACTCTGTGTAACCACTGAGCTACAGATGCACAGCTTTAACAGGTTGGCAGCTGTAGGATGATGTCAGCTCCCACCACCTGAAAGCAATCAACCATCTGATTAGCCACACCTCTTTTGTGATTGCACACCTGTGCCTTCCTGATTTTGACTACAAACAAACTTACTGCTGTGACCAAAAGGATTTTTTTTTAGTACAGAAAGCTAAAAACTAAATATTCAATCTGTAATTCATTGTCTTTGACGTCGCAGGCCTCCAGCTGCTTGACATCCTGCCGAAATTAAGGTACGTTTTTGTTTGTGTGGTGTGCATGTTTGATTCCCTAGCTCTTGTAAGTTACGCAATAAAGTTAGTTTTAGAGGAGACACCTAAAGCCCAGAAGTCATGCAAGATAAGAGTTTATCTTGCATAGCTGATCAACTATGGCATTAAACTAAAGGCTTTAAATTCCTTGAAGGAATTGTTTGACTCAAACCTCGTAAATGCCAAAATGCATGTGAGCTTGTGAGATGTTTGTGTAAAGAGAATTTATTGAGGATGACCTGGGTAAAAAATAATTTAAGCAGTAATAAGGACAAAGTTTCTACTCAGTCATTTTTAATTTGTCTCCAGGGAGCAGGAGGACGAAGACTTGATAATTCAGTGTGAAGCTTTCGAGGAGGCGATGGCGGAGGATGAGGAGGAGCTGCTGCGAGTGTATGGAGGGATTGACATGAGCGATCACCAGGAGGTTTTCACCGCACTCTTCAACAAGGTGAGCAGACCGCCGGGATGGCTGCAGCGAAGAGCTGAGACTGTTAAGTAGAGGCTCAAGCAGGACGGAGATTAATGTAGATTCCTGCATGAGGGTTATCCAATTAGAGTAATGTGTGTGCAGGTGAGCAGCTCTCCAGCTTCCCTCCAGCTACTGTCCATCCTGCAGACAATGATGGTGCTCGGACCGGTCCGCACAGACATCTGGCTGGCTCTTGAGGCTATCACTAACAGAGCCATACTCCTCGCCCAGGACTGTGAGTCAGCACTACAAAAGCTAAACGAAATGCATTTAGTCGGGACGACACTCAAGAGGCTAACGGCTAAATGATTAATGTGTGAAGGGGAGATTATCCCGGCAAATGGATTCAAGTGGGCAATTAAAGCGAGGCGGGGAGTAACGGGGCCCCTGAAAGCTTTGATGCAGAGTGGGCATACCGATTTTAAATGTTTGTGTGTTGTGCGCTTCTGTGCTGCAGCTCAGATGGAGTCCTGCGAGAAGATCCTGCAGCGGCTGATGCTTTTCAAACGGAGGAGCAGCAGCTTCGTGTCGGGTCGCCACGATGTCGACGAGCTCGTGGTGAAGGTGGACAAGGCCGTGCAGACTGACCTGCACAGACGAGACGAAGACAAGCCGGACATGGTCACTCGGAAGTTACCGTGTGCCCCACCTCCACCACCTCCTCCACCACTACCTGGAGGGCTTGGCAGTCCCCCACCACCTCCTCCTCCACCATTACCAGGAGGGTTTGGCAGTCCCCCACCACCACCTCCTCCACCATTACCAGGAGGGTTTGGCAGTCCCCCACCACCTCCGCCACCTCCTCTAATGCCTGGAATGTCTGCCCCGCCTCCTCCACCACCATTACCAGGGATGGGGGGTGCACCACCGCCACCTCCACTCTTACCTGGGATGCTTCCTCCACCACCTCCTCCCCCTGGCTTGATGGTGGCTCAGAGCGCCCAGGCGCTGGACTCCTGCACGCCGGGGAAGCCGAGCAGATGTCCCACTCTGAAGATGAAGAAGCTCAACTGGCAGAAACTCCGTCGAGTTTCAGGCGAGTGGGGGTGCACGTTGGTGTAAATGTCCAGGTCATCTTCCCAACAGCACATTCTCTACCCTTGAAAAAGATTAAGAAGCAAATGAGATCAGACTTTTCAGGTGAAATCTAAGAATAAATGTGCCAAAACAAATGTAATTTATTTATTTTTTTCCTGCCTAAAACGTGAATTTGACGTCAAGATAACTAAAACAAAAATCTGCATTCCAACTTTTGTTTTCAGAAATTACATGTAGGTCTGTTGCATAACGTGGATCAAAAACCCAAATCTTTATTTGAGCAATATTATGGAAACCTAAAGTCCAATAATAATAATAATAATGATTATAAATAATAGGAGTCAGTTTAACTGAATGAGTCATTAAATCATGTGAACACTCAAATATGTTATCTAATAGAAATAAGAGGCCCTTCGGTTTTTAAACAAATTTTTTTTTATTTAAAGTAAAATGCTTATTTACAGAAGAGGATTAGGGCCCTTGTACAATATTTTATTTTTCTTAATTCTGAGAAAAAAGTCAGAATTCTGAGATTAAATTTAGAATTCAGAGAATATAAAGTCACAATTTTAAGATAGCAAATGGGGATAGGGTGTGCTGCTCAGACGCCACACATGTTAAATGACTGGGGATCTATAAGCAGAGACTTAACAGTATTTTATTTTTTTTTTTTTTATTTTTCAATTTAAAACCCCCCCCCCCCCCCCCAACCTGCAGCTTAATGAAGTCCAGAAACTTTTTCATGCTGCTTTTTGTCAAACATCTTCAGGTTTTCCCTGCAGCTTCTTTCAGTTTAGTTTTTTGGGTGGATTTCCTTCAAAATCCTTCTTGGCAGCCGAACAGCAGCTCAGTGGTGTTTGTCTGGAGAAAAACCTTTCACTTCTTACCTCATTGTTTTTTGTGTATCTTTTTGTATAAATATCCTAACATCTGCTTACTCAAATAAGCCACACTGAGGACACGAAAAGATTTTTAACTGGTCTTTTACTTGAAAGGGTAGATGGACACGATGAAGCTTTCACAGACGTACAAAAGTTACATGCTTTGAGCACCGTCAGAGAGAATCTGCACCGGACAGTGAAGCAGGAAGTGCTTTATAATGCACGCTTATCAGACAGAGGCGAGTTCAAGACGACCTCGGCTTTCCAGCTTAAAGACGAGAAGTTTATCAGGTGCTTCTCTGTGCACCTGCAGGCTCCTCTCTGAGCAGACAAGACTCTACTTCACATGCATGGTTCAACATTAATTGAACATTGGTGATTAAACATCCATAACCTTTATCTAAATTCCCTTGATGCTGTCAAACACAAACTGCTTCACAGGTAGTTTTGCTCACCTAAAAGTTTATAGAGATTTTATTTGGCTTATTTGTATGTGCGTAGCTAGAAATGTGAAATGCCGACTGTTTATATAATTCTGGGGGTTGTATAGTATTTCCTGGTCAGTTTAATATAAAATATATATTCGTTGAAATGAGAGCCGATACTAGACTTGGTTTCTGCGTAGCGATTGGATGAAAATGTAGGAATAATACGCGGCAGCGTTTTAACAATGGGTGTTCAATTTGCACTAAAGTCAAACACCACTTGTCTCAGTTTTCATCCAAAATGGATTTCTACAAGCTCATAGGTTTTTTTGTTTTTTTTTCTTCTTGTGAATGCAGATGGCCAGTCCATGTGGGCCTCGGTTCAGAAAGAAATGCCTCCTCACGAGCCAAACTACAGCAGCATCGAGGAGCTGTTCTGCCTCCCAGTGATCGAGCCCAAAGAGAAGGGGGCCGCTACTCCTGCCAAGAAGGAGCCCAAAGAGGTGTGATGGGTCAACAAAACAAACGTACCCAGCTGATCAACAAATCTTAACGTTGCCTTTGTTTTTGTTTTTTGCAGATAACGTTCATTGACCCGAAAAAAAACTTGAATATGAACATATTTCTGAAACAGTTCAAATGGTGAGCCATAATCTCAACCTGTTGGTCCATTTCAGGGGTCTGCAACATTTACCATCAAGAGCCATTTATTCCCCTTTGTTCACTAAACTAAGTGCCCAGAGCTGCTAAACCTGCTACAATTGTCATAATCAACTGGTGGCCCATGGGCCACTTTGAGTTTGTTGGAGGGTGCTTTTCTGGCCAGTAGGGGTGACATTATAAAGCTGAAAATATCTAATGATTTTTAACATTTGTTGACATTTTTTACATTTTACGACAAAATAGGACATTATTGTAAAGAAAGAAAAATATAGTTTTGCCCAATTTAAAAACAAACATTGAACTATGCAGCTTTTTCACTTTATGCTTTATTTCGTAATCGTAGTATGTTTAACTCCTTGTATTAGTTCTAGTATTCACATATTTGCAAAGGAAATGACAAAACTGCTAAAACTAGCCCTTTTTGTCGTGCTAAGAATCAATAAAATTAACAAGTTTAGTTTTGGTCAAAGCTTGAAAGGGCCTCTGCAGAGGAACCAAAGGAGCCGCATGTGGCTCCAGAGCCGCAGCTTGAAGAACCCTGGTCTACTTTAACTCGTAAGTTGTTTTTTGTCTTCTTTGTCCAGCAAAAATGAGGAGTTTGTTGCCATGATCCAGAAGGGAGATCGCAGAAAGTTTGATGTAGAGGCACTAAAACAACTTCTTAAGCTCCTGCCGGAGAAGCATGAGGTTTGTGTAATACTTTGATACTCCTACTGACTCCTGACCATAAAAAATGTTATTGCTTGTCCTTTTTTGGTGCAGATTGAAAATTTGAAGTCTTTCCAAGGGGAGAAAGACAAGTTGGCGAATGTAGACCGTTTCTACACTTCCCTCTTGACTATTCCATGGTACCTTCTTTATTTCTGCCCTGAATGTTCCATGTCTGTATTATGTGCTTATTTACCATCTTGCTGCTTCTCTCAGCTATCGGCTAAGAATTGAATGCATGTTGTTGTGCGAGGAGACAACGTCAGTGTTGGAGATGCTTAGACCCAAAGTGAGGCTGGTGGAGGAGGCTTGCCAATGTAAGTAAACCACCTGTGCACATCTAAGTCATGCCTTTTTTTTTGTGTATTTGAATTAACCCGATGGAAAACGTTTCCCAGCTCTCAGAACGAGCCCACTACTGCCGAGCTTCTGCAGACTCATCCTCGATGTTGGAAATTTTCTCAATTATGTAAGAACCTCTTTGCATTATTTATGGTTTTTAATTAAGCTGACATTTAGCTGCAGTTTGTGTATTTAATCATCTGCTTTTCAGGGGAGCCACACAGGGAATGCTGAGGGGTTCAAGATCAGCTCTCTGCTGAAGCTCACAGAGACGAAGGCCAACAAGAGCCGCATCACGCTGCTCCATCACATCCTGGAGGTATTCAAACTGCCTAACAGCTGCCATCATTTTTATTATTTTTTGTACTCTCCATTTCCAGTCATGAATCTGTTATAATTACCAAAGCTGTGATTTTTATTTTGCAAAGGAAGCGGAGGCAAACCACCCGGAGCTGTTGGCTCTGCCTGATGATATACAGATATGTGAAAAAGCAGCAGGGTAAAGGCATTTTTTCTTATTTGCTTGTTTCTTTATACCGTATTTTTCACTGTACATGTTGCACCGCCCTAGAAGTCACATCAGTCCAAATATGTCTAATAAAGTGAAAAAAATCCATAAATAAGTTGCTTCGCCAGATAAGTCGCATCTATTGTGCATCACTGCTGATAACCTGGAAATGTGGGCCAGTGTTGTGCCAAAAATGGATTGGCTGCCAAATGGCGGCCGCGTGAGTGTGCACGGGAGGACTTTAACAAGAATTTAACAAGATTAACACTTTAAAACGATTAGTTTGCTTGAAATTATAGTAAAGCTGTGTCTCAGTCCAACTTTTGCTTAATAAGTGCGCTTTGGTCAAATCAGCTGCATTTCAAAAGCCGATACGCAGAACTAGGCCCGTGCACGGAAGGACTCGCTGTGCATTTCGTCGAAATTTAACAAGATAAGCACCTAAAACAATTTGCTCGCCATTATAACAAAGGTGTGTCTCAGTTGAACTTTTCTTTAATAAATGCACTTCAGTGGTTAAATTAGCTGCATTTCGTTGGGGTGGTGCAGCGAAATGAAGCTGATTTGACGGTTGCTCCAAGCGAACTGGACCAAGGTGGCTTACAAGTGGCAAGCAGATTGTCATCAATAGCCACTTTTACCTATTACATGACACAACGGCATGCCAGACTACTCAAGTGCCATGTAGCGTCTGAAAATGGTATTGTTCAATATTCAGTCAGAATGAATGAAAACGGTCATATCTCAGCGAAAAATTGGTTTACCGGTATAAACATGAAGGGAAAAAATCCATAAATACATTGCTTCGGTGTATAAGTTGCAGGGTATGTAAATTATGTAAAAAAAACTGTGACTTATAGGGCGAAAAATATGGTACTAGTCCTTAATAGATCTATAAGATGAATAACCTTTTTTTTTTTTTTTTTTATTCTCAGAGTCAATCTGGACTCTATTCAGTCAGAAATCAGCACTTTGCTAAAACAGCTGAATGAGACCATTAAGAAAATGTCCAACTCTGAGGACGAGGTGAAAGAGCAGTACGCAGAAATTCTTGAGGTAAGAGGTCAAACTCTTCCTCCAAATAAAAGCAAGAGTGAACTTGATGCTGTTTTTAGCAGCTGGTTCATTTCCTGAATGCCTCCTCTGTTCTGCAGGAAAACCAAAAAGCGTGTCAAGCTTTAAGTAAAAGATTCGTTGAGATTGAGAAGAAGAAGAGCGATCTGGCCGACTACTTATGCGAGGACGTGAATCAGCTGTCGCTCGAGGAGCTCCTCGGAACCATCAAGACTTTCCGAGAACTTTTCGTCAAGGCGCTGAAGGTTAGGGAGGACACTTTATTTGTCAGGTTAGGACGACTCATTCATGGCTGAATGCACGACGCAGTCGAGGCTGTGTGGGAGTTGATTTTTTTTTTGTAATACGTGTATCAATAGACAGAAGGAGGTTGTTTCCACCCAAATAAGATGAGACAAATTGCCTTTAATATTTTATATTGTGGCAGTGATGTGTTTTCTTTCATAAAAGGAAAACAAAATGAGAAAAGAACAAGCAGCCAAGGCTGAGAAGAGAAAAAAGCAGCTGGCAGAAGAGGAGGCCAAGAGACAGAAAGGAGAAAATGGAAAAATAAGTAAGTTCAAAGCCATGTACGAAACATCCTGAATAAAATCTCACTGTTGCATGTTTATGAAGACACTTTATTCCTTTTTTTTTTTTTTTTTCAGTCAAGAAAGGCATTATGCCCCAAAACGATGGCTGTATCATCGATCACCTGCTGGCGGATATCAGGAAAGGTTTCAGCCTGAGAAAGACCCGGCCAAGGTGCGATTCGGAAAACCTCCCTTCTAGTGAAATGCGTAGAGATACCTGCCCACCTGGTAAGGACAAGCGATGGCGGTCTCCATCTGCAGCTCCTAGCTCCGTCCCTGAACCAAAATGCAAGCCACAAACCTGCCCTGTAGGATTGTTTGTGCTTCTTCACCATCTTGTTTTGTTCCTACCGCTAAAATTGTTTTTCACCTTGCAAGCTTTGTGATGTTGCTTTGTAGATTGTAGTTAAATCTATAAATGCATGTACCTCAGTTGGTACGTTTTGCGTCTCTCTCTCCCCCCCTCCAGAGTCAAATGTGAAGTCTGTGGACGAAAAAAACGCCGAAGCGGACACCACTTCCGCTCCCTCCAAACCACAGAAAGAGGATCGCCAGCGTCTCGTAGGCGAAGTGAATGGGTTCAGCAGCCCGTCAGAAGAGACTACGCCAGATCAACGGCTCACTGTGGCACAAAGTGGGACGGCTGCGCCCCCCAACACCCCCGCAGAAGAGCCAGCCACAGTGACGCGGGTGCCCCTGGACAGACCTGTGCAGCTACAGGATGGTCACCCAGAGACGCCTGCAGCATTAAGATCAGATGAGACGCCGCCTCAGTCTGTGGGGCAGGTTCCACCTTCTCTGTCCACAAATGGCTTCTCTTTAGACTCAACAGACACTAGTGTCCTCAGTCCATCATCGCTGTCGGACTCGGACCAGGCAGAGGACACGGTGGGCTCGTCCAGCCTGGTGTCTGAGAAGGCGACACCTGAAGAATCTGGAAACTTCACCCAAGAAAGTTCATCTGACACAGACTTTAATGTGAAACACAGCAGTGTAACGGAAGACAAAGAGTTATGCCACGAGAAAAGCTTTATATCAGAAGTGGTGGGACAAGACGTGACCGACGACGGACAATGTGTGATTGTGAGAACGAGTGAAGGTTTGAGTGACAGACATTCAGAAGCTAAAGCCGGTGTGGTTCAGTTCGATGAAGGCATCACTAAGTGCGATGTCCAAGATGAGCCAGAAGATGTGCCACCAGCCTCCGAAGCCATGTCTCCTCTTAAACTCGAACCAAAGAAATCGCTCAAGCTCTTTAAGCGAAACAAAAAGAGCAATCCAGGTAATCTAAACATTCACTCAAATAAAGGTTTTTGGAATGCTAAGCTCTTGTTTGCTAAAGGGAAACCAGTGTTTGCTCTGATTTTCTTGCAGCTAATTTTAATGTATTGTTTGTTTTGGATTTTATAAACTTTTCTCTTATGCATGAAAACGTGCATTTTAATGCAAATACGATGTTCAGTCCTTGATTTGTAGATTCTGATGCAGTGGATTTAACTCTGTGGTCAGTCTGTTTGAATGTTCTTGTTTCTGATTCTCTGAAACGCAAGGTAACAGTGGGAAAGGACATAAACATAAAACGGGCTGTGTGTTGCAGTGAGGTAGGTGGGAGTGGGAAATATCGTGACAGACCCGATCGTCGTCAGAGCTTTGTGCCAATAACGCATCATCTGTTGGTCTAACTGAAATCTGGATTTCATTTGTCTGTGTTCGACTCTAACGCTTGCTCTCAAACTTTCTCCAAAAATCAGTTATCATGCTGAACTTTGTCTTTTCACACTAATCAAACCAGGTGGAAGCAAAATCCGCACTCCCACGCAAAGCACGTAATCCAGTTCTAATCTCAGCCTTGCAGTTTGTGAAGTCATTGTGGACTGAGCTGTGCCATGAAATCCACCACTTTTGTGTCCTGTTCATATTTACTTGTCTGCCGATGGGACTGTTTGTTTAATCATCCAACAGTCTCGTGTGCTTCCTGTAAACTTCGCTTGTTACTCGATGAACGCCGACGCCAAATGAAATGTCTCGTCTCTAAATGGCGAAAATTATTTTAAAGCTAATTTATTTTCAAGTGTTTTATCTGTGAATACAATTTTAATAAAACAATAAAGTATTTTTATACAATTTTCTTTGATTCTGCTCGTTCATTCGTTTTTGCATTTGTTTCTCTCTTTAGGCGACTCCAGAAAAAGGAAAGCGCGAGGAAAAAGAAAATGTTAACCATGTGCTAATGGGAGTTCTGAACTGGAAAGACTTATTTTTGTGGGAAAACGCACAAAAACTGACGGAAGACGAAGTTCTGCAGAAGAAAACTCTGATTCAGACCTGGAGTTCTCACGGGATGGATTTCAACTTGTCACTTTATGTAAAATGGTTCTAAAAAAGAAAAAAAAAATGTATTTATATATTTCTATGTTTGTATCATTGTAAAAAGTGAATTGTGTTTTTGCTATGAGTTCTGGTTAACTAGCAACACCCATAAGGGTGAAAGTATTTGCAAGATATTTACCTAATCAAACCTGCTTGTGTCTTAAATTCTTCTATATGCTATTTATCTACAGAAGGACAAATAATGGGCTGTAACTTTTAATGTTTTATTAAAATTCACTGTACTGTTGACAAGGGTTTTTTAAGCCCTTTTATTGCAGGGTGCATACAAAACATGTCACAATAAATTAAAAAAAATGACTCCTGACTTTACCTCCATGGTTCCCTGTATGAAAATGGTCTCGGATCGTGCAGCTGTGCAGATCACCTGCAAGGTGACTGTCGTGGTCAGAAGTTCACGAGCATCATTTGATATGGGTCGTTTGATCTGTTTGAACCTTTTTTTTTATCCAGAGTGGAACAAATTACTTTAAAATATTGTTTCACAAGTTTTTTTTTTAATGGATTTTCTATAATCGTACACAGGGTCAAAACTATACATACAGGCTTGAATATATATTTACCATAAAGTTTTAAGTAAGGGGTCCCCTTAAAGAGGACTATGGTCCATATCTGGACCTAAATTAAGTCATTTAGATTTGTAAATTTATACTGTATATATAAATAAGACTTTTTATTTACTTGAGCATTTTTCCCACATTTACAGTATTTTAATTTTGATGGCATGAAATTTAAGCAGACCACTGAATTTTTGTTTCATAAAGCCTTAAAGGCTTATTAACACCACCAATGATCTTGACTTCAAGGACTTTGGGCACTGTCCAGAAAAATGGGGAATGTGGCAAAGAGGTGAAAAAGAGTTCAGGCAGGATGGAGTGGATAAGGAAAGGTTTCAGGAGGGATTTGAGACAAAAGGGTGGAAAATAAGACCAAAGAGGAGATGGATGCAGTTAGAGAGGACATGGAGGTGGAGGTACCGACAGCAGACCAAAAGAGAAACCCCTGCTTCAAAATAAATATCTTCAAGATCTTTTTTTGGGGGGGACTGACGAAATGTATTGTTAGAGGAATCAGTCTAGGTTTTCAAACCCAGCACCAACTCTCATGTATGGTGGTGGCAGCATCATGCTGTGTGGTGATTTCTCTGCTCATTTGCCCAAAGGGAACTGAATAACCAGAAAGGAAGTACCTCCAAGTTCTTCACCTTCAAATAACACATACATCTGGACAGAAATGGTTGTTCCAGCAGGACAACCTCAAACCTAAACACTTTGAATTGCATTCCCAATTAAACATCATATAGATCAAGAATCATGTTTGTGCCAGGAAACCAATGATATGAACTCTACCTATTCTGCCAAGAAGAGGACAAATGCCCAGCCAGCTTGTTGATGGATACCAAAAAAAAGAAAAACATGGTGCAGTTTGTAAGGAACATTTCACCACATTTTAGTGGAATGTAAGCTATATGAACCTGGGGATTGGATAATCCACATTGAATCCAAATTCTTTCTTTTTTTTATATCTTTTAAAATGTATGGTGTAAAACTATGCATCCTGGGAAAAGAATATTTTGAAATAATCTTGAAAAACATTCTAATATAGTGATGTGTTAATATTATCTGAAACTTTTATTTTTCCTCAAAGGTTTTAAAGTGATTATTGCAAGGTGAATTCAACAAGTCTCACAATAAGAGCTCACACCACATGAGTTTTCCCTGTGTGAATGCAGTTGTCTCATTCTGATCCTGCAGCTTAGGAGATCACTTGAAAAGGCTCCGTCCCTCTGTGCGTCACCAGCTATGAAGTTACAGATATGGCACTGCCTCTCTTCAAGACAGTCAAGTCTCCTTGAGTCGGGAGGACTAAAGCAAACCTGCCGTCATGTCGCTCAGCCGGTCGTCCAAAGACCAAAAACACACGAATCAACCTGCAGGGACTGGACTGAAGCGGACGCGCGGTGACGCGGGGAGCAGGGTGACGGTGGTGCTCGGTGCGCAGTGGGGAGACGAGGGGAAGGGGAAGGTCGTCGACTTATTGGCAACTGAGGCTGACATTGTCTGCAGGTGTCAGGTAAATGTTTGGATTTTATTCATGATGCGTCTTTGTGATTGTTTTATTCAGACGGGTTTGGACACTTGGCTGACTGGAACGGCACAACGCGTGTTCAGATTGAAAGAGCTCTACTGTAAGAATACTGTAAATTATTTGTACTTAAAACATAAGTCTGTTCTGTACTGTTTGTGACTGATCACTCGAGAGTGACAACTGCGCCAAATGTCACCAATATCCAGCTTGAGTTGTGCGTAAAGTTGCGCGGATTCGCTCCACTTGTCAGACTATTTGAGTCATAAAATGAATACAAGTGACATCCATAACTATTCATCATAAATACCTTAAACTGACCTTAGACAGGTCAGTTTGTTCGAATACACATGACATGCAACACTCCAGAGGTCACACTGAAACCTGTCAGCAGTTGGGCTTTTGCGCTCTTTCCAGGACTTGTACCCTGTGTTCTAAAGGCTGTTACAGCCCCGCCCGCCGAGCTGTGGAGGTCACATTCTCAGGCTGGTTTGATATGTGAGAAGGCCAGTCCAGTCTGGGAGGGGGGGTGAAGCGTGAGAGGGTCCACCAGCAGCAGTCCAGTCTGTTTAACCGGGTGATGGACGCTCCTGGCAGAAGAAAATGCCTCATCACTGTCTCAGGAAAATGAGCTGAGACATGAATTGGAATTTATGGATCATTCCATCTTTCTTTACAGGGAGGTAACAATGCCGGGCACACAGTGGTGGTGGACGGCAAGGAGTATGATTTCCACCTCCTCCCCAGTGGAATCATTAACACTAAATGTACTTCTCTCATCGGTAAAAGCTTCTTATCTTCAGTCTGTACAGTCAGCTTCATCTCTGCTGCATTTATTTCATTACTTTCAAACTTTGCTTTACCTTTTCAGGTAATGGAGTGGTCATACATTTACCTGGATTGTTTGAAGAGGGAGATAAAAATGAGAAGAAAGGTATTTTAATAAAACATGGTGGTAAAGAGGTTTTAGTATAGTTTGAGCTCACTTAGATGTATTTTTTATGCAGGTCTGAAAGGATGGGAGAAGAGGCTGATTGTTTCAGACAGAGCCCACCTTGGTACGTTGAATAACATTTTATATAATTCAAACACGTGTACCTCCTATTAACTTGATTTGAAAAATGAAAATACTGTACATCGTATGTCTCCACAGTCTTTGATTTCCATCAAGTTGTGGATGGCTTGCAAGAGACTGAAAGACAAGCGCAAGAAGGAAAAAAGTAAGTGTCAAATGGTAATCAGCCTCAAACAGACATTAAATTATGTTGAACTTGGTATTAATTTCATGAATTTGTAACACAACAGCATTGGAACGACAAAGAAGGGCATTGGGCCTGCGTACTCCAGCAAAGCGTCTCGGATCGGCCTGCGTGTATGTGACCTCATGGGAGACTTCAATGACTTTTCAACCAGGTATTAAAAAAATGAAGTCAGCGAGTCTAACTCCCATATAAGAGGTCATAAGTTGTGTATTTTTAAAACTCCCTTCAGGTTTAAGAACCTTGTTCTTCATTATCAGTCCATGTATCCATCTTTGAAAGTCGATGCTGATGACCAGCTAAAAAAACTAAAGGTAGGTGTTGAGTTCTTCCTCTTTCTGTAAAGTGTAAGACAATGCACTTCAGTCCAACATGATTTAGCCACACAGCCTATCACGATAACAAATTTTGCTGGGCAATTAATTGTCTCAAAAATCATTGCGATAAACGATTATATTGCTTGAAATTTGACATAATTGGTAATTATTGTCAAATTTAAGAAGAAATGTTGGTTAATTTGTTTTGAGTGTAGTACCTTTTTTTAACCACCGGATGGCGGTATAAGATTGTTTGAACCAAAGGATGGATAGTGAGAGAGCGAGCAGCGTGCCTCTTTAAGAAAAATGGGAGGGAGGCCCCTTGACGTGACATGGGCTGTCTCTCCTTCCTGTTTTTCGGTTCTCAAAATGGCGGACGCTCAATGTGGTTTTAGCTCTTTATCATAGCATTTTTCACACAAACCTTTTAATAAAAAAATCAGTAAACAAGTTCTCAGCTTCTTTTTGCAGAGAAAAAACAACTTTTTACATGAAGGCACGGGTTTCAACCGTGAATTTTGGAGCTTCGACAGCTTTGGAGCTTCCCGAGGTCGGCCTGTTAGCGTAGCTCATAGCTTAGCTGCTTTTAATGATCCAAAAATGCGATTATGGATAGTTAAAATTAATTTTAAAGAGAAATTAGGGGTCAGTGAAGAGCATCGGAGTTGAGCCTTCTGTTGTCCAGTGTCTTCAGTAAAAAGAGAGAGACACAAAGAAACAATAAAGCCAATTAATGAAAATGAGGTCGATAATTTTCATTTATCATGCAATTAATTGATTTATTGTTTGTCGCAACCGGCCTAGCCATACGTATCAATTTTCATCCATGGTTTCATGAAGATTTGAGTCAATTTTAACACAGACAATTACTAAATTTGTTGATGAATGAACAAATTTTCATGGTTTGTGCAGGACTATGCAGAGAGATTGCGCCCTATGGTAAGAGACGGGGTCTACTACATGTATGAATCTCTTCACGGACCTCCAAAGAAGATTCTAGTTGAAGGGGCCAATGCTGCTCTGCTTGACATTGACTTTGGTAGAGCTTTATTACAAGCATTTATTGCATTCTTTGACATGGTGCTATTTCAGTTTATTAAATCCTCCTTATTTTTTAGGTACATATCCTTTTGTGACATCATCAAACTGCACTGTGGGAGGGGTGTGCACGGGCCTCGGCATCCCTCCACTCAATATTGGTGATGTGTTCGGTGTAGCCAAGGCCTACACCACCAGAGTGGGAATTGGAGCCTTCCCTACAGAACAACTTAACGTAAGATCTCACCGTTACAGTAAATCATTAGCACATGTTTAAGTTTTCTAAGTCTACAGAAAAGAAGAGTCAAGAAATATTGGGTACATTCAGCCTGGCATGTATGCAGTACAGTTTGTTCTTGTGAGATGAGGACAGATTGTATTCTGACTCAGAACAGCTGTCAAATTTTGTGAGAGACTTGGTCTTTACCTCTTTCCCTGATCACATGTTGCACAGATAAATTTAGGGCCAGATTCTGGGTTCAGGTTATATTTACTGTATGGGTCGGGGTTATGTTACCTGTTGCTGGAACTGACTGCAGAGACAAAGGTCAGGAGGTCACAACTCCCCTCTCAAGCTCTGACACGTCAAGATATCCTGTTTATATTGCTCATTGTTATATGGTTTGTGAAACTGAAATCATTCAAGTCAATGAAGTAACATTTTTTCCTGTTTTTATGCAGGAAGTTGGAGAGTTACTGCAGACGAGGGGTCACGAGGTGGGTGTAACCACAGGAAGGAAGCGGCGTTGCGGCTGGTTGGATCTAGTCATCGTCCGTTACGCTAATATGATTAATGGCTTTACCGCGTGAGTGGCACGTGAAGCTTAAACATGTCATCAATCATCTGTTCTGTGGCTGATGTGTTTAATTTGTGCGCATACATTCTACAACATGAACCAGAACTAACGTTCTGTACGTCAAAAATTTCTCTCACAGCATTGCTTTGACAAAACTTGACATTCTGGATGTGCTGGATGAAATTAAAGTTGGAGTTGCATACAAACTCAATGGGAAGAAAATTCCTCATTTCCCAGGTAATGAAATTGAGACACGTTACTTTGGCTTACAACAGATTTTTTTTTGTAAGATCTAATATTAGCTATGGTTAATGTCCGCCATGCTTTTATTGCAGCCAACATGAATATTTTGCACAAAGTGGAAGTTGAGTATGAGACCTTACCTGGATGGAAGACAGACACATCTGCAGCCAGGAAGTGGAATGATCTCCCAGCCAGAGCACAAAACTACATCCGCTTCATTGAGAACCACACTGGAGTTCCCAGTATGTTTGAAATAAAAAATTATCATTCATATCTAACTCCTCTGCAGATCACACAAAGAAACAAAATGAATAGAAGCACAAGCATGTTGTTATCAGTTTTGATCATGATTTCTACAATTTATTATTACTATTGTGTTTTAATTCTCCGTTTTTTTTTTTCTTTCTAGTCAAGTGGGTTGGTGTTGGAAAGTCCAGAGAGTGCATGATCCAGATGTTCTGAACCAAAACACCACTTGATGAAGAAAAATGTGACACGAGGGGGCATTTTTCCCTCACAAAGACTGTTCTTTTCAAAAGCAAAAAAATATATACGGGTATATAAATATTTATATAACCACTGAGCTGTGTTGACTCCATGTCTTTTGTGGCAGTTTTAAAAAAAGTTTACTCCCAGATGCTAAAAACTGTTTTGATTTCTAAAGCACCTTGTAAGCAGTGATGTGTTTCAAATAGCTTTACTAGACAAAACCCAAACTTACAAGTGAACGTGAAATAAAACCAAGTATAAAACTTAAAAGAATAACCCAACTTGTAGAGTTGATTTGCAAATAGAACTATAATACAAAAAAAACTTTTAAAGCAAGATATATAAAAATGTGTTCAATATAGCCTACTAAAGGTATAAGAGCTTAAACATATTTACACAGATGATGGTTGAGTTAAACGTGCTCGTTCAACATTGTGTTTGTATTTTAGTTTTAAAAACGTCTGCATTTTGAAGATTAAATAAAAAATTAAATCCCTCCAAATTACAGGAATATATTTCCCTTTCAAAACACCTGTAATCCTGTTCAATTTATCAGTCACTTACGGAAGGATGTGAGGAAGAGATCATTCAAGACAGAGTAAAATTAACAAATATTTATTTTAAAAAATCACAGTTCTTGCTTTCTGTTTTTTTTTATTATTATTATTTTTATTTGAAAATTAGATTTACAAACTAGCCATATCTAATTAGTAAATTAGGTTTAATATAGTGTTGATCATTACCCATTTTGATATCTTAAACACATATTTCCAATTTATTTTTATTATAGTGATCATATTTGTACTTATTCTTTAAATCTTTCAAACTACTCATTTTTTATATTAAAATATACGACCCAAAATAATCTACAGTTCCTGAATGCATCTCGAAAATGTTGAATATATCACGTGACAATATGCAGTTCTCTGATTGGCTCTTATGGTCACGTGGTAGTGGTGCTGTTTGTGATTGGCTACATTTCGTCCTCCTTTTACTTTTTCCCGCAACAAACATCCCTTGAAGTTCTTCGGAGCACGGGGCAGCACTTTTAGCATCTAAAATGCCCAAACGAACTTGTCCTTTTCCCGAAACGTTTTCCTCCCAATATAAATTACATCTTGGACAACACGAATTGAACAAATATGGCGTGTTTGGGAACAAAAACAGACAAGAAATATACGGTAAGTGAGCGGCTGTGGTTCATGTGGTGTTAGCTGCTAGTGTTAGCTTCGATGTTATGCGCAGTTTGCTTGTTGACTTAGCATTGGTAGCAGTTGTTGAACACAAAGTCTCTTTTTGCAACTCTGAAAGACTTGTTTTCCCCTTTTTATTGTATTGTTTAAATCGTTTGTAAGAATAAGCATCTCTTAAATCTTATGTACGTGTAGTTTAAATAAATGAAACTCATTTATCCCTAATTCGTTTTAAAGTGTTGACATTTCTGTCACTGTTTTAAGTTATTAAAGCATAGGCTTCAAAGTAATGCATGTCATTCAGTAGGTGGGCGTCCCTGGGGGAGGTCAGGTGACATAATGTCACACATCACTGACTTTTTTTCTTCTTCTTCTCAGATAAGACACAGAACTTGCTTTTCAACGGCGCCAAAGCTGCAATGGACAAAATAGGGACAGGAGAGGAGACATGCCCAGATTCACAACTCGGTGGACATCCGTCTGCATGCAGTCAAACTCTTCTGAGAGGACAGACACTCATTGGACATGATGGGAGGCTTACGAGAACAAGTGCTGCACAACAAGGTCTGACTGAACTGAGTCAGGGTAAATATATCTTTAATTAACAAGGAAAGACACAGTGAAAATCCACTAGTCTACAAATATTTTGTCGCCTGTGATCATTTTTCTTTTTCCAACAATTTTTCAAGAACAGCCACCAGTTTCCTAAATTTAATTAACATCTTACTTGATGTAAGTAAAATATAAGTGACATCATGCTTGAGCAAGATTAGACTATAACGCTCATCTTTTAGATTACATTTAAACTTTGATTATGCTGTCAGTAATAGGCACCTTAAATAAGTATATAAGCTTTTTATTCATATTTATATCGTTTACATGTGAAATGGCACCCAGCTACTAAAATTAAAAACTTGGTAAAAAAAAAAAATTACATTTAAAATTCAGGCATGATTTTAGTTCTTTCCACTGCAGTTGCTGTTGTGAAAACTTTATTCCAGTACATTTGTTGGTTTATTAAAATATGACATCGAAAGCGCATCTGACTGGTGCTTTTTAAAGAAAGTTTTATTTGCCAAGATAGTAAATTATCTGCTTAAGTATATATTTTCTATATGTATGCATACATAATGCTTGATTTTGTGCAAATGAAGAAATGCTAAATTCATAAAACTGCAATATTAACACACTTTTTTGCACACATAAATCAACAATAATACAATTAAACATCCAGAAAATGTACAAAGTACATTAAAATAAATCATTACCATGTATTAGTTGCTTACCATTTGAATAACCTTAATTTAGTCTTACTATATATCCTATAAAAAGGGAAGTTAGATTATTATTATTATTTACACAGCTGTATTTATTAAGTTAATTTAATTCAGATTTATTTATTTGCAAACAATAATCTCTTAAAAACTCTATTTTAAAATTTACTGCTACACATGAAATTGTGGGTTTAATAAAACTGATGCTTTGGAACATTTCTTTTTGAAGAGTAGTCAGGAAAATGATCAGGAAATAACATTTCTTCTTAGAAACTTATCCCAAATTGTTAGTGACGTATTTGCCTTTACCAGTAGATGTCAGGCTTGTCACAGATTTGTGGACTTTTGTTGTTACTTTTAAGTTTTTGTTGCTTTGCTGAAGGCCTCTGGATACATCTTCTTTTTTGTTAGGTGCACAGGTGGCCCCCACATGCTGCTGCGTGTGTCAGAAAAACCAGGGCTCCAGGACACGGTGTTCCCAGTGTGACAGACTCGTCTGCTCCTCTTGTACCCGACACTGTTCCAGCTGCTCGAGCCTCTGCTGCTCCGTCTGCACCATCGTAGAGTAAGTCACATTTTGGGGCTTCTCGCTAACTCAGCCTCCAAGAACGCTGTTTTAAATAACCATCCCTGCATCAGTTGAAGGTGACGACATCAATTTACAAACAAGGTTTTGAGCAAATCCGATTAGATTAATTTATTTCAAGAGCGTGCCTTGTCTACTCATGGGTTGTAAACTGATTGTTCTCCACAAGATGTAGCTCTTTTGCTCGTGCTTTAATTGACTTCAAATACATACCTGCAAACATATTTCCCTTTTTATTGTAAAAGATCTTATTAAAAACAACAAAAATAATTTATAATTTCAGCAGAAATGCTGAAAACAAAGGCAATCTAGGAAAATGAAGCATAAACACTTCCAAATTACACACTGTAGTTATAGCTACTGACAGAAGAGGGAAACAAACACACATAGCAGCTTACATTTAACCTAAAATTTAGCCTTTAGTTATAATTTATTATCTTATTTGATCTCATTACTTTTATACTGTCGCCACTGATCAGTCCAAATGGTTGTGGTTCAGTGTAGCTCTTATTTTAATGTTAGCTTTGAAAAGCAAGTGTTGAGGATAAAGCTTCAAAATAATTTAGAATTCCTCATTCTTAGGATTTCATGAATGTGTTTTTATAATGTTAAAGTGAGATTTGGTTGTAAGATGACAGCGTTTGTGTGTTTTTGTGGTTATTTTTTCCACTCGCTGTGAGGCGTGGTGCTGACATGTTTCTGTTACTCTAGAAAAAAAAAATCACTTCTAGATATTAAACCTAATGTTTTGACTTTGTTCCACAGTTACAGCGGGCGATACGATGAAGTACTGTGCTGCAGCTGTTCAACATAAAAACGAAGGGATCTGGAGAAAGTTGCCTTGTATGAAATATTTCCAGGACTACATTTTATTCTTGTTTTTTTTTTTTTTTTATCTGATTCAGATCTTGTATATACATTTATTCCCAAAATAAACTTGAACCCTTTTTATATGAAGCTTAATTTTTAGTGTATTTCATTTTATTTCCTGTGTTGCATATACAAGAACTGACCTGGAAGCCCACTTATCATTTTGTTCTAGATTCAAACCGCAGCAGGTGGCAGCACACTTCATCAGTTACTGGGTTGAGAGATAATGGGCTGTAATCAGATTTGGCATCCTCACTTCGTTCCTTAGCGGTCGAGTAAATTTCACTTTGCTCAAGAAGAAACTGCTCCAGCGTTAAAAGTTTCTAAGTTCTGTCTCGGCTTCAGGACGATAATGAAATTCTAATCCAGCTCTTCTGGACTGACCTTGAGCATTTATCAAATGTATTTATTGCAGCCACCAGAGGTTGAACAGGACCAGAGCTTAGCAGCAGACAGTTTGGCTACAGCTATCCCTGCTGGACACGACCTTGTAGTGTAATCACGTCTTAATGTTTGCTGATGTTCGTCAGTGCTGACGGCCTGTTCCAGGGTCAGATATTAGACACTGAAAAACACTTCTCTGTGGCATTTGTTTGAAATCAGTCACGTGACGCCATGTAGTGGATACTGGCTTGGACGAGTGCGTTTCGCGGAGCTTATTGCAAATGTCCCTGCGAGCTGCGGAGTCACATCGCTTGCTCAGCGGGCCAGTTGTGGCTCCGGTCTTCGGGGAGCTCTTGCAGTTGGTGTCCGAGGGGGCACCGCTTGATTTCTGGCTGAGTGAGCAGACAGCTGCTGGCGAGCCAGGCGTCAAGTTGTCTGCACATTTCTTGATAAGACTTTAAGGAACACGGATGAACTTGAAAGGAAGACCGTCAAATTTTGAGTCTGCGTTCAATTGAACATTAAAATATATATATCTACTCAACCAAAACTTATCAGTGTGATTAGAGATCAACTCGGATTTGTCGTTTTTTAAATTTCCTACATGTCAAAGACTCACCTTTCTGTCTTCATTGGGTGAATGCTGAGTCAGCATTTAAACAATTTACTGTTTGTTTTTGCAAAAAAAAAACTTACAATAAACATTTTTACATTCTATTATTTTAGCCATCATGCATTCAGCTTATTCAGATGAGTTCTATGACTTGTTTTTTTCTAACTTTTATACTTTTTCAAAATATTTAACCTAATTTATAAATGAAATTACAAATTAAGATCTCCAGTTCCTTCAAAACATTGTTCTCTTTAAATTTGGCGTCAGCAGACTTGCTTGTTTTTAGCTACTATTCTGCTACTCGTCGGTTTTATCTAGCTGTTTACTACCTTTGGCTACCATTCTGCTTTGTGTTAGCCTTTGGCTGCTTCATCTTTTGCCTTTGGTTCTGCTACATTCGTGTTAGTGGTGGCGCAGAGGCTAGAGATGGGCCTGTGATCAGGAAGCCGCAGGCTCAACTCCCTGGACTGACGGCATCAAAATGTGGGTGTAAAAGGCGAAACGCCCACACCTGCCTCCACCCTTATTTGCCCCACCCCATCCCCCTGAGCAAGGCCCTCAACCCCATCCACTCCCAAACAAGTCTCTTGAAAATGAGCTCTCATGACTCAATGAGACTTCCTGTATAAATAAAGGGTAAATAAAATATGTTTAACCTTTTATTTTCAGCTTTTAGCTAGCTTTTTGCTACTCCTGATTTTTTTTAGCTACTGCTCTGCTACTTTTAGGTGTTACTTAGCATTTTGCTAAGCCTTTGAATTCTTTTAACCAGCTTTTTGTGCTTTTTTTGGCTTTTAGCTCTCGTTCTGCTTTCAGCTTCTTCAGCAGCCGTTCGGCGTTTTCACAGAAAATGCAGTTTTTCTAGTTCCCTCATGATGACTTCATATGCCTTCAAAACAAGATTACAGCTGTTAGTTTTTTCAGCACATCCTCACCCATTGCACCAAAAGGTCAGCGTTTCCTTACTATAGGAAGACTCCATCTACTCTAGTGCTGGGAGGAGGTGGGGGGCCTCATAATCCTCCCCCCCACACACACACAGCAGACAGCACGTGGCTTTGTCTTTGGCCCATTCTTTTGGGTGCCAGCTGTGGTCTGAGCGTGGCGAGCGTCAAACGGAGTGATGCTGCTGCTATAAATATGCGTGGACGAGCGTGAGTAAGTGACAGCTGTACAGTGGACCAAGGACACGCTGTCTTGGCACCGTCGGGGCGAGCCGGGCCAAAAAAGGCAAAGGCAGTGTGAGAGAACCCTAACTGAGAAAGATTTAGGCGTTTGAACTAATTATCACCCAAAGAGGATTTTTTTTTTGATTGTTTCCTGAGTGTTTGTTTGAAACCTTAACGTAATTTACTGTGACATTTTCTAAAAAAAAAATCTAATGTTAAAGTTAATATATTTAGACAAAAAGTTCACATTTCTTCTTCAGGATATAGATTTTCCTGAAAGTCAAAATAATGGCTCCTCTGCAAACTAATTGGATGATAACAATATGCATGTGTAAGAGAGAAGAGGGGGGAGGAAGCAGAAGAAGTACCCTTGTGTGTGTGTGTGTGTGCTCGTGTTTGTGTGCCCTTTTCAAGTGTGACCACCTGTCTTTTGTTAAGAAAGAAATAAATAAACACAGGCCACACCAGCTGTCCCTGGCAGGCCGTCCCCGCAGAGGTCAAGGGCTCCCACCGCTGGCCTTGTTGAGGTGCTGGACACTTCCAACTTTCCTCTCAACTTCTCCCAAGTACCTCTGAACACACACACAAAGCCCTCGCTGCCAAATGAGCCCGGCTTTGAGCCTGAGAGAAGAATGTTTTATTACTGAACATATCCCGGCTCGTCACCCTGCAGCTAAGCCCTATCACATGGCCCCTGCTTTCCATGTGAATGTGTTGCTTCATAAGAAGCACACACACCAGGAAGTTTCTGGATCCCTCATGAAGCAGATGTGAGATGTAGACGGGGAGCGCTCCAGGGCCTGTTTACAGTGACATGTCTGCAGCACCGAGGAGGGCCCGTATTTACAGTGCCGTATAAGCCGGCTGGGGCTGTTCGGGGTGGTTCTGAATGATCTTGGGAGGACATTGTTTTCTTTATGTCGGCCAGCGCCGCCGTGTCGTCTGTTTGTGCAGAAAAGTGCGTGCTGTGGGGAGCTGGGCCAGACAATAGCCTGGCTGAGCTACTACCAATGCGCACAATGGAGTGGTGGGATGAGGCTGAGGTTTGGGGGCCTGTGGTTTGGAGGGGTGGGGAGGTGGATGCTGCCCTTGTCTATAACGTGGCGTTCCCAGAGCAGGGGGGGAACTGGGATTTGGGGGGAGGGTGGTGGGAACCAGCGCACATCCCGATTGGGATCACGTAGCAAAGCAGCTGGATTTCTTTCATGGTGCAGCGGGGAAATAATTAAAAGACTTTGCTGTTGAAAATGTCCAGTGGATTGGCATGAAGCTCCTCAATTAGACACACGTTTGGTCTGTGTGTGTGTGTTAACATACAAGTAACATGCAGTCTGCTCAGGCTAATTTACTCTGGTTAAAATGGAAGAAAAAAAAAAAACATACAGTCAATTTTTGCCTTTTGAGACACGACAGAGTTGAATATATTTTGGTCGAACCTTTAAAAAAAACATTAAAATCTCACGTGATGTCATGCTCAGAGTACATTTTGCACATGACTCTCAGCTACCACATACAGTGAGGAAAATAAGTATTTGAACACCCTGCGACTTTGCAAGTTCTCCCACTTAGAAATCATGGAGGAGTCTGAAATTTTCAACTCAGGTGCATGTCCACTGTGAGAGACATAATCTAAAAAAAAAATAAAATCCGGAAATCACAATGTATGATTTTTAAATAGTTTATTTGTGTGTTACTGCTGCAAATAAGTATTTGAACAGCTGCCAAACAGCAACAATTCTGGCCCTCAAAGACCTGTTAGTCCGTCTCTAAAAAGTCCACCTCCACTCCACTGATTATTCTAAATTAGAAGCACCTGTTTGAGGTTGTAGCTGCATAAAGACACCTGTCCACCTCACACAATCAGTAAGACTCCAACTACTAACATGGCTAAGACCAAAGAGCTGTCCAAAGACACCAGAGACAAAATTGTAGACCCCCACAAGGCTGGAAAGGGCTACGGGGCAATTGCCGAGCAGCTTGGTGAAAAATTATCAAGTGTTGGAGCAATTATTAGAAAAATAGAAGAAGCTAAACATGACTGTCAATCTCCCTCGGACTGGGGCTCCATGCATTATCTCACCTCGTGGCATATCAATGATCCTAAGAAGGGTGAGGAATCAGCCCAGAACTACACGGGAGGAGCTGGTCCATGACCTGAAGAGAGCTGGCACCACTGTTTCCAAGGTTACTGTGATGTCATAGTTTAAAATCATGCATGGCACGGAAGGTTCCCCTGCTTTAATCAGCACACGTCCAGACCCGTCAAGTTTGTCCATGACCATTTGGATGATCTAGAGGAGTCATGGGAGAAAGTTATGAGGTCAGATGAGACCAAAATAGAACTTTTTGGTCTTAATTCCACTTGCCGTGCTTGGAGGATGAAGAATGATGAGTACCATCCCCAAAACACCATCCCTACTGTGAAGCATGGGGGTGGAAGCATCATGCTTTGGAGTGTTTTTCTGCACATGGGACAGGACGACTGCACTGTATTAAGGAGAGGATGACCGGGGCCGTGTATTGAGAGATTGTGGGGAACAACCTCCTTCCCTCAGTCAGAGCATTGAAGATGGGTCGTGGCTGGGTCTTCCAACATGACAATGACCTGAAGCATACAGTCAGGAGAACCAAGGAGTGGCTCCGTAAGAAGCATATCAAGGTTCTGGAGTGGTCTAGCCAGTCTCCAGACCTAAACCCTAAACAAAAACTTTGGAGGGAGCTCAGACTCAGTGTTTCTCAGCGACAGCCCAGAAACCTGGCTGATCTAGAGAAGATGTGTGTGGAGGAATGGACCAAAATCTCTGCTGCAGTGTGAGCACACCTGGTGAAACACTACAGGAAACCTTTGACCTCTGTAACTGCAAACAAAGGCTACTGTACCAAATATTAACTTTGATTTTCACAGGTGTTCAA